GTATCATCGCCACATCACCAGCGTCCCAACATCACCACCACCCAAACACCACAAAAAAATTGGATCCAAAACTATCACAGTCATCGCTACGACCACACAAACACCGCCGCAACCACCACAACATCGTCACTACCATCTCACCGTCACGATCGCTACCCCACTACCCTTACCTGTACAAAAAATATCCATCTCCACCACACCACAACCATCACCCCATCAAAAAAATCCCCAAATCGTCATCATCGCAACGACCTCCACAAATCCACAGTATATCAACCACCAGACCTCTACAAATCCACGACCTCGACAAATCTACTACACCACAACGACCAGGTGATGCGACGATGCTTGTACCACCGCTACGCGCTGACATAAAAAATCTCCAAAAGCATGATGCAAAGCCCTTTGTGAAGACAACTCCAAGAAGAAGAAGCGGAGAGAAGAGCAGCGAAAGCACCCTATGATGACAAATCACTATCGTGACTGTCACACTGATCGATCACAGTCCATTGAGCGTGGTTCTACCGTTGAAGAGAGGATGGATAGGGGAGCGAGGGAGAGAGGAGACATTTTAGGGTTGGGTGAGAGTTTTGTTGCGTGGGGGTGGGGTTGTGAATTTTTTTAATTTTATAACTTTATCATTAATGTTTAAAAATTGCAATATTATCTTTTTTTTAATTAAAAAAAACTCTAAATCGTAACTTTGAATTAGGAACATGAAACTAGGGATGATTGTAATTTCCACATAAAAATAAGGGAAAATACGTAATTATAATATATTGAAAATACAACTTCATATTTATCAAACTTGTAAAAAAGTTTCACAACTAAGGTGTTAAATCATAATACACACACATTAATTTAGGAAAAATGCACATTAAATTAGGATAGTTTAATCATCATTATCACATTTGAATATATAGCATATTGTTAGAATTTGGGTGTGACCTGAATTCCTTATTTGAAGTATTGAAGAATTTTAATTGTAGTGAACATAAAAAAAAAAAAATTAATTTTGGAGTGCTATTAGAGTCCTATATCAAGTTGAAGTTCTGATTTGGAAACTTATTGGAAGTTGGAAATTGATATTAGATTTGAAAAAAAGTTTGGAATGGAGAAAA